GATTCCTTCACGATGAAGCTTAACATTGCCAACCCTCTCACGGGTGCTCAAAAGGTGCTCGAAGTCGACGACGAGCACAAGCTCCGCGCGTTCTACGACAAGCGTATCTCGCAGGAGATTGATGGCGCCGTGCTGGGCGAGGAGTTCAAGGGCTTTATCTTCCGTGTCTCGGGTGGTAACGACAAGCAGGGGTTTCCCATGAAGCAGGGTGTGCTGTCTAATGGCCGTGCCCGTCTGCTGCTTTCCAAGGGCAAGTCGTGCTACCGTCCCCGTCGCAAGGGTGAGCGCAAGCGCAAGTCAGTGCGTGGCTGCATTGTTGGCCCCGACCTTTCGGTGCTGAACCTGGTGGTCATCAAGGCCGGTGAGGCGGACGTGCCAGGTCTGACTGACGTGCAGATCCCGCGTCGTCTCGGTCCTAAGCGTGCGTCGAACATTCGCAAGCTGTTCAACTTGACCAAGGAAGACGACGTGCGCAAGTACGTGATCCGTCGCAAATTCGAGTCCAAGACGGGCAAGAAGAACGACAAGGCACCCAAGATCCAGCGTCTTGTGACTCCGCGTACGCTCCACCATAAGCGCCAGATTGCGCTCAAGAAGGTGCAGCAGCGCGAGAAGGTGCAGCGTGAGGCCGCGGAGTACAACCGTCTCCACGCTCAGGTGCGTCCCGTTCGATATTGTTTATCGTGTGTGTTTGTGTGTATGTGTATCTTTGTGTCATCTGATACGAGACTGACTTTTGGTGTGTGTGATGGCGTATGTCCTGCTCCTTTTTCGCCTTATGGCACTGCAGCGCGTGAAGGAGCAGAAGGACCGTCGTGCCAGCGAGGTCGCGAAGCGTCGCAGCAGCCGCAAGGTCTCGTCGATCAACGCGTAAGCTGCAGCAAGACGCTAGCGACCAGGCTCTGCTCCCATGTGTACAGTGAACGGTCTCGGTGCACGCTGTTTTTCTGCAAGACATGTTGTTCCCTGTGCCATAGCTTGACGCTAAACGTCCTGGTAGTGAACGGGTTCGAATAACAAACAATTAGGACAAAAGACAATACAATGGCTCCACTTGACGAAAGCTTGATTTGACTACTGAGACGTTCTTTTCAGTGCATCTATTTCGACCTGCAGGGGCTATGCATGGCTGCCCATGTTTAGTCCACTTTGAAAGCACCGAGTCCACTTTGAAAGCACCGAGTCCACATAAACCGAATAAACTTGCATTAAATTGAGACTACGTCGAGACTACAAATGGCGTGACGTTGTTCATCGTGTCGTTGTATTCCCATATTTGACTCGACACTACCGTCCTCCTCGCATGTGATGGCCGGGGGCTCCTAGCGGTATGCCAGCAGGGCCGTATCGCTGCTCCATATGGCCGCCACCTCTGCCTCCCATCATGGGACCGCGGTTATTATACATGTACTCCGGGCCGTTAGACGGCACCGACTGCACATGCGCATAATGGCAGTTGCCGCCATGCTTACAACCTGTCGGCGAGGCAAAATACCTGCACGGAAGCGTGCCACGGTTCTTCTTTGCTGGCCGTTTCAGGGACGACGCATCTAGCATCCCTCCATTCTGAGGAACGCCCATGGCAATCGCTTTCCGCTTTCCAGGCATGAAGGACCCTCCAGGCGGCAGGTATGGCTGCTGATACGGATGGCCATAGCCAGCACCAGGACCCATGTTACCATAGTGCTGCTGCTGCTGCTGTTGACCACCGTAAGGACTGAACGAGGAGGGCGGACCACCAACATTAGGCGGCGCTTGATAGCGTGCGCGACGATACTGATCCACAATTTCAAATACACGAACATCTGGAATACGGTTGCCATTGCGCTGCGCCTCTTCGTATACCTGCGGCACCACGTCGGGATTGTCCAGCAGAAGCGAAATCGTATTCCCTTGCAGTGGACCCAAAGCTTCTCGCAGCTTGCGGTCCGCCTCAGGGTCTTGGCCATTATACTCACTACGATCGCTTACGCCACAGTGGTCATAACTCGGCGGTGCCTGGCTGTAACCTCCGGATGGATATGGTTCTTGATAAAAGTTGGGTAATGAGGACGAGGATACCGGAGCCATCGTGAGCGCAGACCCTGATGGAGGTTGGCTGGTAGGCTCACTCTCGACCACGTCACTTAACGGTATCTCCAAAGGCGGTCCACGTTGAGGCTCGTTGCCACGTTCCCACTCCTTTGGGCTTGGAATAGGCATCTCGCCCATCAACACTTCATACTCGTCCACATGGCGACGACGACTGTCTTGGACGTGCATCTCGTCAGTGACAGCCTTGCTCTCCACACGTGCTGCCACAGCTTCCGGTAGTCGCATGAACGCTGGTGTGGTCCATTCACGCAACTGAGAAGCTGATACGGCAGGAGGCATTCGGTGGTGTTGCGAATGTAGCGCATGCCGCTCGTTGGCATGCTCACGAAGCTTGGCATCTTTAAAGGACTGGTCATCGTGGCGTGGGTCGTACGGCACAAGGTCGCGCCATGACTCAATAAGTTTAACCTGAACGAGTTCTTCGCCACTCTCGTCTGCCCAGCGAATACACTTGCTCTCTTTTGCCGTGTCAACGCAGGATGAAGCTGCCTTGAAGCTTTGGATTGTCGGGAGCGACATAGGTAACGCGTCGTCAACGTTGGTGGTGACCTCGCTTGTACTGCTTGACATCCTCGGTTGCTCCTTCTTCGCATCATCCGGTTTGGTACTACTACTATCGTCGGTACTATTAGTCACCTTTTTCTCCACCTCAGCTGCAGCCGCAGCGTCCTTTGCTGACTTGCGCTGCATTAGGTTTCCAATCAAGTCGCTTGACTTCGACACTGCGCTGCCGCCACCAAAAGGTAGCCGTTCTAATCGCTTAATTGTACGCTTTTTCAAGGCCTTTGCTTGCTTTGCTAGCAATAGACTGCTAGCACCAGACTTAGCTGCTGTCGACGGTGATTGCTTTACATAAGAAGTCGCTGATGAGGGTGGCTTGACGTCGTGTCCCTTTTCCTTAGCCACCGGGGATGACGCCGATGACTTTTCTTTCTCTGTGAACTTGCCACGCCAAAACTTTAGGAGGTCCTGAGCGGCGCGCTTCACGCGTTCTTCGCGAGCGTTCTTGCGCAACTTGACGATAGGCTCATTGATTCGAGCCTCCGTAATACTACTTAATTGCAATGGAAGGGTCTGCAGCACTTCTAAGAGGAGGACGAGCATGTCATCGTGCTGCCAGGTCACAGCTGAGTCGACCCAAGTCCGTGCCAGACGCAAGCCACCAGCCTTCTCAAAAGCGCAAGCACAGGCACGGGATAGCTTGGTATCTGTTGCAGTTGAAGTAGCACGAAGTACCACAAGCGCCAGTGTCTGCTCCGGCTCCGTCTTACACCGGGGCAGAATCTTCAGAAAGACTGGGAGATTAGAAATCAAAGACACGCGGAGTTCCCCGTCCACAAGGGACAACAATGACGCTTCGACACTCGATGGGATCAGCTTGGAGCATTTGCTGCGACTCATCATGTTCTGAAGTACGTTCGGAACCTGAGAGCACGTGGAAACCAGCACACGGCAAATGAGTTAGATCGAAGTCCTAGAAAATAGACAACCGCAGCATACACTCACTGGTTGTTGGTCCGCTGAGCGCTGCACAGAAGCTGGCGATAAAGCTTCAACCCGCGATTGTACCTGCTGTTGCTTCATGAATTGCGGTGCTCCTCCCATTAACAGCATGTCTTGGAGCCCAAAAGCCGGTGGATGCATCAGTGACTGCTGTGGCACTTGCAACGCTCCGCCGAATTGGGTGCTCTCCAGCATGCTAGTGAAGCTGGTCTGCTCCATGTCGATGTTCATCGTCTACAAGTTTGCACACATGCAACAGAGTGAGTTCTCTCCGTCATTTCAATGTTCCGTTCAATTAGCTGCCATCTCGCTCGCCACTACCATCTCTCTCCACTACCATCCCAGCTCTGACACTAGTAGCCTCCTTAGTTCGGTTGCGCTAGTGACTGCCATCATTGGAACAGATATCAAACTCGAGACGCAGAGGTCTCGCTATCGTTGCCCGACCTCAGTAGATCATCAATCAATTTCCGTCCGAGCTCTAAGACTCATCTTTGTATGGACATTAACCAATACCAGCATCACGCCCCTTCAGGAAGAGAGGGAGGACAACTACAGACAGCGTGTATGGAGCCGGGAGGAGACATTTCGTGTGCTCACGATCGAGTAGGCGCCATTACACGGCACCGTACAAGGCAAGCCTTGGCACAGGTGTTAAGACTACTCCTAGATGCATTGGACTAGAATCTTTACCTTGTGGCTGTTGCTGGTGACAATTGGGTGGATAACAGTCAAGTTCAAATCCCAAACGGGAGACGAGACAAGACGCAAGTAACCACGGAAACGTGCGCCAGAAGCGAATAGAAAGGCGCTCACCAGCGACGGACAATCGGCGAGGAGAGCGATGCGTACAGACAAACGATCAAGTGCTCGAAGGTGGTGCGACTAACTCTCGGGAGACCGCGAGTCGGTTTGGTAAAGGAAACACTCGCCCGTGGAAAAAGGCAGAGAGGAGGACTGACACACAGCAATCGCAACGGGAGAAGTACCGCCCTAACTGCTTTCTTTTAACTACGTGATCGGTTTGTGTGGCGACGAGTTGCTTTCGTCCTCTTCTTCTTCTTTAGAGAACTGGCTCGGGGAGGGCGTTTTTCGTAATGAGGAACGGGGGGAGAACAAAGGGAGGGACGAGACGCAGCCCACTGACTCGACGGTTCATCACATCGGACCGGGCGAGTCTGCGAACGGTTCGGTTCCCGCGAAAGAGTGACGGATCTCTGATTGATCGAGCTACTTCAGTGGATCGTGCATAAAAGGAACATCTAATCATAGATTGACAGGAATCGCGGAAACCGTCCGTGGCCGAGTTAATTATCAGAAGTGACAGGGACAAGGACGACGAAAACAGCGATGCGAAGATGTTTGATACACGGGATGTATGTACGCCCATTCATTAGACCGACATGCAGAATCCCTTGCCGCTCCTTGTTAATCACCGCCGCCTCTTCAGAACTGACGACGAAGTTGTTGCAACGACATTGCGAGACTTGGGCTTTTCGCCATTGACCGATGTGCAGTGTGCACTTCAACTTAGGGGTGATAGGCTCGAAGAGCTATTCGTGTTCACCGGAGGTCATGACAGCCAGTCTTGGGCGTGGAACTCTGTCTCGTTTGGAGACGATGAGTATCAAATGCTCAAGTGATACGGAACGAGGCTGCACCTCTATGGTGGAGTATGAAAAAGAGGTTGAGGGTGCTGCAGATGAGTGGGCAGAAACGACGCAAAAGTGTCGCTGCGAGTGGAAATGAGTGGAAAGAGCCCAACGAGCGCGTGCAACAAGTTCTAGACGACATGTTCAATTAAACAGCAGCAGTGCAATGAAGTTTGGCGACAACAGCAAGGCGCACAAGGCATTGATGCACCGCTTGCACGAGAAATAATTGCACTGTGATTTCTATCGGGATTTATTATCGTCAGTTTTGGCCGTCACTTTACTTTCGGACATGCGAGGCCAGGAAAAGATCGTCGAGAGGGGCACGTCAGAAGAAGTAACGGTCATGCTCGGCATCGATATGTCGCATCACATGGAAAATTATTGTAGTGCTGTTGAGGATGTGATGGCGTTGAGCTCGTGACGGTATGAAATGAATGTGGAATGGCGAATGGCGAACGTCGCTGCTACAAAGACCAACTGACGAGCAGATTATGCAGAATAGATGGAGCTTCGAAGCGGCTCGAAACATTTGTGTGCTTATCGAAGGCGCAGGCATCTGGGATGCTGGATATGGACACCAGAAGAAAATGTGCATGAATGGTCAGCTACACTTAATTTTCTCCCTAAATGTCCTTGGAGGAGTTTCATTCGTCACGTCGGCGGCTGCCTGCAAGCACACCAGTCGATGACGGTTGTGTACGCTTCAGCGAACCCGATGGTTTGATTTTGCCTCATTGTTTGCCGCTCTCTCCCTACCAGATTCGATGCAATAAGCTCGAGTCCATACCCAGTGGTGGCACGGTGTACAGCAACTGGACTTTCCTACTAGCGGTTGTCTGAAGAGGTCGCAATCGTATGGAGGGCTCGACAGTAATGCATTTTTCTGACTATCCTCGAAGATGCATCGATTTAATGCCATTGAAACGCCGGACAGTTTAGTCACAGTGCACAGTGATCAGCACATTTGTCCTGTGTGTTGACTCTTCATCTGTCGACCTTTTTGCCCATGGCTGGCAAGTGAAGCTTGGGTGACGAGGAATAAGAGCACGTGATCCATGAACTTCTGCGCCGAGTGACCCAGGGTCCTGTATATGTAGCAGCACTTCTCGACCACGTACGACAAGTGATCGACAATCAGGAATCAGTCGAAGAAGTGAATAATGAATAAAAGCTGCGGTATGTGGAGTGGTTTTGATATGACAAGCAGCAGACCACTAGCATGGTCCACTTGTCAGTGGCAAGTACGCTTAATGCACTCTTCGTCCAAGTTTCGCCAAGACGCGGTTGCTACTTTCTTCTTCACAACTGGTCAGGATTCGTAGTGTCAGTGGGTATGGACTGCCCGGCATGGGAAAGCCTTTGGAAGCGAGAACACTTGCAGAAAAACAACCGGCCGCGGAAGCAGAGCATATGCACATTCATTAGAAGTGGCTCCAGAAAGGAACATGTCAAGATGAGCACATGCACAGGTGTTCTAATGCAACGAATGTCCCGAAGTCCACAACTGTCCTTCGCTAAGAAGACAAGCGCGGCCCTGGATCTTCCTTGTTTTGAACATCTGACGCAGCATTAGTCTCGTCAGTCGTCGCGACTGCTTCGTGTACCTCCTGCTTTTCCTCATCACGAACAGCACGCTTCTGATCCTTGACTTTCTTGGCTTCCAACACAGCTTCGAGCACAGCCGGGCTATACATCTTCATTTCCTTCATCGTTCCTAGTAGTGCAGCTACATCAGCCTTAGTCGCCATTACATTTACCGAGTTACGACCTCGCCACGCGACCAGATTCATCACCTTCAACCTACATGGTCACAATAACATAGCGTCAGCTGTGTACAAAGTGCCAAAAGAGTCGTAGTAACAGGGACACGCACCCAGTATTCGACTGGTCTGACTGGTCAAGCATGCATACGACACTACCGATCGGAGCATCTGTAAAATACTGCCGGGTAGTAGGTTCAAACTCATCAAAATCCAGCAAGTCTCCCAACCGATCCAGCATCATCTGGAAATCCCTTGTCGACACTTTCGCTGTGCGCTTATTCATGAATGGCAGAATGTGCGCTAGACCGGCTTGGCACACTCGGTAGACCTTACCACCCTCAACAGTCTCATTGCGCTCAAACATCTTGAGCCCAGCAAACACAACCTTCAACTTCTTGCGCTTCATCTCCTCAAGCAAAGCCATAGTAATGCTCTCCGTCACGAACGTGACAGACTTCGCATCCTCTGAGCGCGTGATGAGCTGCGCTGCCGGAAAGTCAGCAGCTAAGCCGTAATATTCGCGCACGTCAGCCCAGTTTTCAGTGCCGAAAGCCAAGTACACCTCGGCCTTCTTGTTGCGGCGATCGTCGCGGCGATTTCTCCGCAAATTCTTCACAGCTGTGCCCGCTTCATCGTCTATAGGTGCTTGTGCCTCCACCTCAACATCGACCTCACCAACTGCAACATCGCTCGATACAGTTGCTTTGTCAATAATGTCACCGTTGTCAGACTTCACAGTTGCCACTCCTGTTTTGCTGCTTGGGTTCTCGGTCTCGTCCAAAACAACCTTCTCCTTATCATCAGGCGTTGGCTTCACCTTCCTCAACAAGCAGACAAAGAAGCCACCAGTGTTTTCATCTTGAGGCAGACAGCGCATACAACGCTCGAGGTGATAATTTGCTGCCTCCTCCTCCGTAGGCGGGAACATCGTAGCACGGATTTTGTCCTTGACTTTGTCCTCCTTGTTCTCGTCACCATGAATGTCGCATGACGAGTGCTCCTGTAACTGTGAGTCCAGCACCTTCCACGTACTGATACCGGGACGACGCTTCAACAGCGGCAACGTGTTTGACACATCGACAAGTTCGAGCGAGCCTTTGCTCCATCGCAACAACTCAGATACCACTGCTTCGTTCTCCAGTGGGTTAAACGTGCACGTTGAGTAGCAAAGATTGCCACCAACCTTCAGCAGTGACGCACCGCGCTTGGCAATTTGCAGCTGCAGCGGGTGCAATGCAATACCATTCTTGGCACTCCAACTCTTCCAGATCAACGGGTTCTTGCGTATGGTGCCATCACCACTGCATGGCACGTCGCATAAAATACGGTCGAACACGCCTTTACTTTCAGTTCCATCTTTACCAAGAAACGGGAAGTGCTGAGCTTCATGGCAAGTGACAAGCAGCGCGGGTGAGTTAATGCGCTTGGATTGATGCACCAGCATGTATGCACGCTTGAGATCCACGTCATTTGCCACAACGACTCCGGTAGGGGTCTTGCCCGTTGCAAGTTCTTGAGAATGCAGCGATTCCAGCAGCTGGGACGTCTTGGAGCCAGGGGCAGCACACATATCCAGCACCTTGTGGTGCGGCTCTACACCTAGAACAAGAGGTGGGATCATGCTCACAGCTTCTTGACGAGTGATACTGCCACTATCCGAGAGCTCAACAAGCCAAGCCTGAAACTTCTTCAAAATCGGTAGTTTGCGCACACGACGGCGCTCAACCGACCACGTGAAGCCGCGGTTATCCGGATACCAGGGCATGAGACTAATGGGCTCCACCGGCTCGTCGTCTACCACGAGTCCATCAAACTTGAAATCCTGCTCCACGTGCTCGCGAATACTGCACCAAGGCTGTAAAATTAGTCTCGAGCTTCAACTTCCGCGCAACCGATGACATACTCGACAAAACCATGGAAAAGCTTACCGTTCAGCAAATGGACATGAGCTATTGATACGGAAAGTCGTGGGCAGCGGCGTCGCCAGCGCTTTCTTGAACGCGTCCCAATCAGCGTCCGCCACAATGTTCTGCGCCTTGTAGTACGCGTCAAAGTGTTTGTTCTCGTACACCCAATCTGCAAACCTGTCCGCTGGCCACTCTTCTGCTTTGCCATCACCGCGCTGTTTCTTTTCGCTGCGGTAATCGCCGCGGCCGCCACCTCGTCGTCCGGGACGCGCTCTCTTGCCCATAGTTTCGCTCTTTGACACTGACAACGTTTCGATCACTGGACGAGAGCGATCGTACCCTTGTATTGGTACAACTACTTCACAGTGCGACTTCAGAAACACAATTGCGAGACGGCCGAAAACATCGGCGCTGGCGTAAACAAACACGAACGTGCTAGGACGGTGCCGTGTTGTATTAATTTCTCATAATCATTTTCCCAACCTGCTGCCGCTTAGCCGTCGGAAAACAATACCGCACATGCTGAATATATGCCTGTCGATGGAGCATAATCATGCGAGCACTGCTGCGCATACGGAAATGTCGTCGCGCTTGCCTTGCTTCTTGTGCGCAAAGGCCAGCAAGTTCGACGCACTGTAGAAAGCCAATCGACGGACGCGGCGTTCCTTGCCAAACGCCGCGCGGGTCACGCTCAAGGACGGAATGGTCTCGCACTGCAGTCGAAAGCGCTCAAACTCCTCTGCATCCACAGTGTTGCTCGTCTTCAACTCGTTCAACGCTTCACAGGCAAACCCTGCAGCCGAAACAGCAAAGGGAATGTACACCGACGTGCATGTAAAAGTGTCCTTGGCACGTTGGACTGTCCGTCGTGCCAGTTCGTCAGCTGCTCCACGTCTGCATCGAGTCGGCGGCGAACGGTCGACTACCGAGGTGACAATCGACGCAATGTCGTCCACGTACAGATTGTCGTGTACGCCGTCCGAGAACATGAAGCACACGTCCCCTGCTTCGTAGTCAAAAGTCTGGATCTGCACGTCTTCTTCATAGTTAATCGACTCATTGCTCGACACAACAGCGGGTACATTAAAGTCGTAGATGATCGAGTCACTCTCGAACACGACGTCCCTCCCGCGAAAGACCACACATTTACAGTCACCAATTGTATACACAAACATCCGACGCAACGTCTTGTCGAAAAAAGCTGTCGAAATGGTCGAATCGAGGCGTCCCTTGTTCTTGGCCAACTTGCGGGCACTCTTGATCGCCACCTCCATGCTCTGACTGACGTCCGAGGCACTCAACACCTTCTCGCGGGTCC